GGTGACTATAGTACAACTGTACGCCTTCTTCAAGAGGCTACTAAACAGTGGTAACTATAATACAACTGTACGCCTTCTTCAAGAGGCTCAAACAGTGGTGACTATAGTACAACTGTACGCCTTCTTCAAGAGGCTACAAACAGTGGTAACTATAGTACAACTATACGCCTTCTTCAAGAGGCTACAAACAGTGGTGACTATAGTACAACTGTACGCCTTCTTCAAGAGGCTACAAACAGTGGTGACTATAGTACAACTGTACGCCTTCTTCAAGAGGCTACAAACAGTGGTAACTAACACAATTCTTCTGAAAATATGACTGTTGTCGTATCTTGATAAAGGGATATAATCGAAGTGTTGAGACGAGAAAAAAAACCCAGAAAGGAGTTTAATTTTGTATAACCTGCGATCGCTCACTGTTTTAAGGTGATACAGAGTGTGTAAAATATATCGTGTAAACTAGAAATGTCTCCCCGTTATACGTTAGTTTTGAGACAGTATTGCAAATTAAGCAGACAACAATATTGAAATTTTAGTTGTTAAGAAAAGTAAAGGAATGATTGTTTTAATGATGTAGCTATTTTAGTTACATAGATAAGTTTTTGTTCAGTATATTTAGGTATCATAACCATTACTGTTGGATTATTTTTGACATAAGCGTGATTGAAAATTGTTTCCAGTTTTAACATAATTTCTCTTCCATAGCCAGTTGGTGATATTAAAACATAATGTTTACGAAGATGCATCATCACCTTCAGCCCGATACCGGAATCGTAGTTCAGGACAGCGGGAAAATGTGAATGTGCGACCAACATCGGAGAGGCAATCTACTCCCTATCTAGGGAAACGAATGCAGAGAATGTCAGGTAATATCTTAGACACTGAGTTTCTTTGTTGGAATATTTATATTTTCACGTATTTTAAGAAGGCGAGTATTTTAAATAAAGTAAGACAGTGTTACGGGTGACTCATTTTTTTAAGTTAACGAAGACCTCTCTTCAACCCTCACCCTTCTTAAAATAACAACAACAAAAAAAAACGTTTCTTCATGAAAACGGTAGTAGGCAATTTTGAATTTTTCATAACTATTCAATTACAACTGTGATTAGTACGCTGATTGGCTGCTTCGGTAGTAGGGAGGGATAGAAACGATGACGTCCACGAAATGGAACCAGAGGACGCGTTGCTAGGCCATCGTATCAGGCGGAAGTAGTCATGCCGCCATGACACTAGGAGTTATCCAGAGAGCGTGTTGTTAGGGCCACGAGGGCGTGTTGGTATGATGATAGTGCAGATAGACTAACATGACATTAACTTTACAGAAGCAATCAAGTTCTTAAAATTAATCATTTAATCTAACTTGCCTTATATTGTGTTTACAATTTACCTTTATAAGTAAAACATTGATTATGTTTTACAAAGGCGGGCTGTGTTACTAGGAGTAGTTTTTCTATAAATGGGTAGTTCAATAGGATGATGATCTCATCATAGGGTGTCTAAAGATGTGATTACGTCATCAATGTCTAGATTTAATTATGTTTTCAAAGTTACAAGTAAAAACCATTACTTTAATGATATAGTTATTATAACACTGTTACATATGTCAATTTTTATAGCACATAGTATCCATTATTTGAGCGAGGCACATACTATAGTTCGTAATTTACCTTAAACACTTTTGCAATTATTGCCCTGAAAACGATGCTCATTTAAATTTCATGTTTACCTTTATTAGTTGATTGCTAAAGTTTAAAGGATCTCTATTTAACCATTACTGTTGTAGAAAATTTTGTTTTTGGTATCTGAAACTAACAGCATATAGGCTTTCTTTCCGTTTCTATCTGAAGGTCATTAACCTAACTATTTTGCTACAACTAAATATAATAAATGAATGACTTACTGTGAAACCAATCACTTTACAATTATAGGAACAATTTAAAATAGCAACACCGTTTTCTAAAGAACATTCACCTGAAGTACAAAATATACTATGCAAATATAATTCATAAAGCTTTGCAGTTTTAGAGTACAGATATAAACGAACTTTCTTCTGTAATAGATATTGAGAGATAACTTCTGTAAACGAATAGCTGACGTGATCTAAATTCAGAGGGATAGCATATTTAATCTATAAAGCCAAACCAGTAAAACAATAAGATCATATGCTAAATTATTTTATATCATTTAGAGATTTAATTAAGCATCCTTTTCAAGGTGATAATTGTAAAAAATATGTTATTCAAATAAATAATAGAAGCGAAAACTATACTAAAGTATGCTAAATGCACAGTCGGTTGTTGAATAATAATGCAACCCTCTCGTTCAATATTTATAAAAACGAAAGTTTAGTTATGATAAAATCCTTTCAGAACAGATAATTGTTAAACTATGTAAAGTAAATTATTGTATATATATATTTGCCTCACTCAAATGATGGATAATATGTGTGATAAAAAAGTGACATGTGTGACAGTGTTATAATAGTTGCTTCATTAAAATAGTTTTACTTGTAACTTTTAGAACATAGTTAAATTTGGACATTGATGACAATCACATGTTGAGATAATCTTACTAAGTAGTGTGCATAAAATGATTTTGTTGTAAAGTACCATTGAAATAGAAGAATTGTACCCTAACTTTTTCGTTTATAAACTGTATAAAATATTACATACTTAACTGAAATGAACAAGTAGTAATATGGACATAATGTAAAAAAAATGTATGAAAGTTAGTCCACTATTTTATAAACTAATATGTTTACGTAAATGGTGGTGTATCTTGAAGGTTTGTTAATAAGTATTTCAGTAAGTGTGACAGTCTTATTTAAAGTTTGTGATTTTACTTACATATATTGATGATAGCATATCTATATAGGAGTCTTGTATCAGATTCATAAACACATTTGTTAGCAACTTGAATAGCCTGTTCATAGAGTCTAATTTAATACAAAGTATGGAATAATTATATGCTAACTGAGATGTATATGTCCCTTCAAATATTGAGAAATAGAATATAATGAATAAACATTTAATGCTTTATATCAATAGGTAAAGTGAAAGTATATGTTTACTGGCTTTTAAGTTCAGTGAAATACAAAAGCTGATCATCTCTAGTAAAGTTATAGTATGGTGAACTTCAGGAAAGATATAATTACGTAGAGGTTGAACAATATTTTCAATATTAAGTATGAGATTTATATCTTAGTAATGAATGTATAATCATAAATAGCAACTTATGTATTTTAACTGAGTTGTTGAGCTTTTGTTTTCATAAAATTTTCTTTTCTGCCATATTGAACTTTGAATTCTATCAGGCCCCTCTCTTCTTAGTAAAAGGTCGACATACCATCAACTGTGGGTTAATAAGGGTGAAGTGTCCACAACATTTGGTTATTGTATGTTCATCTTTCTATTGTTTGCCTTCATTGTTAATGACCTCAGATATATGAGGAAAGAACACCTATATGTAGTAGTTCATTTAATGTTCGAAAATGAAAATATCAACAGAAAGGTAAGAATATAATTTTCTACAATAGCAGTGTGTTTAGCAACTAATATGTTTTGTCTTGTATATCTATCTAGTCCTGGTGCCACTGATTTGTATATATATTATTTTTATGTGAAAAAGATATGTTACCGTAATTTTGTTTAAAAATCCATATCTGTCTTGAAAAATTGTATTTTCTGAGTCTCAAACAGACTGATATGTCTGAATTTGTGACTAAGCTTATCAACACCACCTGAAACCAACTAAACTGTTACTCTTCGAGTAAATAATTCATTGTATAATGAAATAGTAAACCTCATACATTTCACATGTCTGTAAAGTTGATGTAGTTTTTAAGTTTAAGTAGATATTATAAATATTAAAAGTAGAACTGTTTGTTTGTTTGTAATTAAGCACAAAGCTACACAATGGGCTATCTGTGTTCTGCCCACCACGAGTATTGAAACCCGGTTTCTAGCATTGTAAGTCTGCAGACATACCGCTGTGCCACTGGGGGAAAGTAGAACTGAATCAATCATAGTCAAACTATTTTGCATTATGAAAAATATTCTAAGCTTTGTACGTTTTGTAATTCAAGTAAATGTTCTATAGAACATGGTAAGTGTTGCTATCTTAAATATTTTCTATAATAGTGAAGTGATTGGTTAAACATTAATTGTTCATTTATTATATATAGTTATAGCAAAACAGTTAGGTGAATAACCTTCAGAGAGAAATGGAAAGAATGCCTATATGCTATTAGTTTCTTTCCATTTATCACATCTATAGACACCTAGGATGAGGTTCTCATCCTATTGAACTATCCATTTATAGAAATATTACACTTAATAACAGTAACACAGTTCGCCTATGTAAAACATATTGAATGTTTTACTTATAAAGGTAAACTGTAAACACAACATTAGGCAAGTTAGATTAAATGACTAATTTTAAGACTTTGATTGTTACTATAAAGTTAATGTCATGTTAGTCTATCTGCACTCTCATCATACCAACACGCCCTCAAGGCCCTAACAACATGCTCTCGAACTATGATGTCATGTCCAGCAACGCGCTTTCTGGACAACTACCTTGTGATGGCGGCCTAGCAACGTGCCCCTAGCAACGCGCCATCTGGTTCCACTTCATGGACGTCATCGTTTCAACCCCCACCTCCTGAGGCAGGCAATCAACGCGCGGTGTCTGAAGTGAAGGGGTAACTACTGTGATTCTATTTTTAAATCATTCAATAAAAACATGTTAAGGTTTGAGGTTCACTCTAAATAGTGTGAACGGGAAATCTGACAGTTAATAGGTGTGTAGCACTACCAATGAAGGTTTGAACTGTACCCTGAATAGCAGGAATGAAATATATGACAGTCAGTAGATGTATAGCTACCTTTGAAGGTTTGAGCTGCACCATAAATAGTATGAATAGGATATCTGACAGTCAGTAGGTGTGGAGCGCTATATTTGAAGGTTTTAGCTATACCCTGACTAGCAGGAATGGAATATATGACAGTAAGTAGGAATATAGCGGTACCTTTTGAATGTTTGAGCTGCATCCTAAATAGCAAGAATGGAATATCTGACAGTTAGTAGGTGTAGAGTGCTCATGTTTTTTTTAAAATCTTTATTTGGCTTCTTCAAGGTTTCTTCCCCACCAGAATAAGTAGAGAGCAAGTAGAATCGTTTAGTAGCAACGAAAAACAAGGATGAAATGTAGTTGCGGCAGCCAAGAATGATCATTACGGCCGAAAATATCGTTAACAGCGAGGGTACCCAACAGATTAAACAGCGCTTTCTAATCTTTATAAGTAGAAACATAAGAAAAGCATACTTAATCAACTATGCTGATTACTGGATTGATGTTTAGTTCCCCTCTAAATGCATAGCTTACTCTGATCGAAAGTTATTAATAATTTACAAGGACTCTTCAATAAAAACTTTAAAATTTTCTGGAAAGCCTCAAAAATTAAGACATAAATCACAAAATTGAACTTCAGTTTTAACAGATGAAAATAGTATCGATGTCTTTATCATTTAAAAAACAAGATTTTATAAATTGGATACATTTTTCGAAACTAACTTGGAGAAATTGATAATAGTTATCAATTCTACAACAAATCAGTATCAGTATTAAGAAGCTATTCAAAAAACTCGCACGACATGATCGACGATTCTAAGAGTTCAAAATGTATTTGTAGGTTAATAAAAGCTATGTATTACGTAGGGTATAAAAAATTGGGTTAACTAACTAGAACAGGTTCAGGTGGAGTGTTATAAAAGTAACACTTAAATTGTAATAAAGCTGAATAGATTGTTAGAATGTGCAAACTATTGTTCGTTTTGTGTCAATACTTGCTTCCCTGATTTTATACCCAATAAAAGCCAGTGTAACACTGTGCCACGGAAAATGGAGATTATAAATAAATTTAGTATTATAAACTTTACTGATTACTAATAAACAAAATAAAGGATCTTGCAACATCATAGTTACGAAAGTTTCTGTTGTATGTAGATTTCTAATTATTATAATTCGTGATATAGTGTTGTTAGTCAGATATAACTCTAACTGTACTGTGACTAGCGCTATCCAGGTGAACATTTAAAACATTAAAAATAAAGATCCAACCATGCAAGTGTTTTTCAAATCTATACAGTTGTTTGATATCTAATATAACAATATTTGATATACTGTTACGTATCTACTCGTTTGTTAATTTCCGGTATAAATTATTTCCGAGGAACTTCAGCGATACAAGTCCTTTCTTAATTAGAACTAGTTTATTTTTTCTCAATACAACTTTTAGTAATACACAGAATTTCCACAGTCACTTTAAACTTAACAACACTTATAACACACACTATAAATCACAGCGATTCACACACTTTACTTACGGTGCCTACTGTTCGCTTGACTCAGTTATCTATCTATCTCTTCGATCTATCTGCCTATCTCGCTGGCTTTCTTTGCCAGGCTTATATACTAAAAAAGAGGGCGTCTAAGCAAACACTCGGAGATTCGCGTGGTTCCTCGATAAGTCATGATCCTTCTAGAAACTCCAGCGCGCGTGCTCCCAGGGTCGCGTGACTTCCGCTGTCGTAACAATACCATTATAACTCTAATTGGTGTCGCTTATCTGTTGAAATGGCTTTATAAATAACCGTTTCATATATAGTACATCAGCAAAAGATATCGAGAAATATAAGAAAGCCGTATTATGATTAGTTCAAGATTTTTCTATCACCAGGTGTCATGCCGATGCATAAAATATTTTCCTATATTTTGAAACAAGAGTTCTGCGGTTATATTTCTGAAGATAAAAAGCTTCCAGTTTTAGATATGAATATTTAGAAAAAAAAAAACACGTCAAAATATTTGTTTGTTGTTAAGTACAAAGCTACACAATGGGCTATCTGTGCTTTGCTCATTACAGGTATTGAAACCCGGCTTTAAACATTGTAAGCCTTCAGACTTAACGCTGAGCCAATGTGGGGCGTTTGTGAATACAAAATATCTTTAACATACTTTGCCACATCACCATAAGAATGCGTAACATTTATATTTTATAACAAAATATTATAAAATTATTTATTGTTACAGAACTATTAACAACAACAGTATTTGTAAAAAATAATTGTAAATATCGTGAAATATTAATATATATGACATTATAATGGACAGTAAAGGACGCGATAAATACTGACAAACCTTCGCATCAGAAGCTATCCATATAAAAAATAAAGAAAAGCTGCACATACACTACAAACCCTAATATATCTTGTTTATTGTTAATTAAAATAAGTATCTGTGGAAACACACCTCTACCGTCGAATCGCTACCGAATTAGTTACGGGAAATAAGCCTAAAATGAGTTTTAGCTTGTAGTTCCGCATAAACGTAGGCTTATTATGTATAATTAAATGTGGAGCTCTTTAGATAGGGTGTTGTTCTGTTATTATAGACATCAACAACATTGTTTTTTACATGCAATTAAGTGAAATGCTCTGTACTAACACTTATATAAATATTCTTGTCTTCAGTTAAGGAATAACTATTTGTTTTGTCTTCATTTCAATAGCGATGACCGACATTGATATTAGTGATGATATTCATACTAGTCTTCCCTTTGATGTCGAAGTTAGCACCCCCTGCCGAGCAGTTTTCTCACCAAGATTAGCCCCACAGTGCGCTTCAGGATCCTTGACGTCATTGGTGTCTTATGTGAGAAGTCCAACAGCTCGATGTTATTTGGAAAAACCTTCGCCTCGTTCCTTACAGGTCTCACCAGCACTCTCTCAGCGTTCTTTGTATGCTCAACATATACTCTCGACCTCGGAGATATCAACCAATGATACGAAGCTGAAGAAAGTCGGATCTGCTACTGCTACCTCGGAATTCTCATACATTCGTTCTGAAACAGCACTAACTAGTCTTTCAACCAAACAGAGCTTTTGTGAAACATCGATATCCAGTGAAACGAGTAATTCTTTGTCTTGTTCATCAAACATACTTGCTCAGCTCGAGAAACTTCATGTTTTAAGCCCCCCAGGTGAAAAATCTCGCCCATCGAGCATTTACGGACAGCCTTCTTTGACGTTAAAAAAATCTATTTTTTCAACTACGCCGCCCGATGTCGTACCAGTTCTCATTGGTCACCCTGAACTAAAACAGCCTTATAAGCGCTTTACGCGTCCATATAATCACACTAAATCGGACTCGTCGTTTTTTCTCAATAAACTAAGCTTCGGTTCGAAAGACTTTGCGAAAGGAACACTAGAACTATCATAATAAATGCTAATTTTGATAAAATAGTTAGCACAAAGGATCGCATATAAAGTATAATAGACTTAAAATAAGACCCAAAACTCGAGCGCTTTCGGATAGTTGACTATTCTTCTTCAGGAGAACAAATAAATAATAAATGCTAATCAGACTGTGATAGAGCAGGTGTTCATCATTATAGAAAGAAACACCACACCATTAAAAAGCTTCCTTCTAAACCTGGTAAAATGAATTAGAATAACGTTAAAAATTACATTTTATGTATGTGCTGTATACAAAAAAATTATTTAAGAGACAGAGAGGAGGAGGAGATAATATATATCCTCAAGTGACAAAATTTTCAGATATAATATTAGCTAAATTACATCACATTCTCTATCTCTCTCAAGTTTAGATCCCAACAGATGAAAGCCAAACATACAAACACCCTGGTCCAAGTGAGGATTATTTATATAATCCATAGAAACTGGTCTATTGTTGTTGTTGCTGCTGAAAAAGTTTTTATTTTTTTTAGTACCCTAGTACTTAAACTAATTAGTGGCATCACACATTTTGTTTGGGAAAATATTTTTGAAGTTTAACTTACAAACTATCTATATTAGTGTTGGAGGTTATTTATTATATTTAATCAATTATTCACTAAACAGTTTCTCAGTCCCCGAAACGTTGTTCTAACATGGCGTTTGTGACAATTATATTATAGTGCTTGTGATGACTAAATACTTAGATATTTTAAACAACATTAATCAACAGCTGAATTTCTGTTGTCTTTTCTATAATTTCATTACTGCTTTTTAACTCGTCGTGAGGAAGGAAATAACAAAGACTGCTGTGAAAACAAACTTACACTAACTTATAATAACAAACATTTCTTGGTTTAAAATCAGCTAAGTATCGGGTTAGGTTTAAAATACTCAATAACTATAAGCCCTAAACTATCGTCACTAAACGATACGGTTTTTTAGTAAGTTTCTCCAACTTTGAAACTTTAATAAAATAATTGATAGAATCATGTGTCTTTTCGATGGTTGTTAATTTTCAGGAAAAAGTAAGTAGGAAAAGTAGATCTCACCCAACGTATTTTTGGGACTAAAATAAAAATTACAACAATATAAGATTAGCAGTAAATGAGATGTATTTCTTGTAACATTTGTTGCAAAATCTAATGGTTCTTAACCTGAAATTAGTTTTCATCAACCATTGGATCAAATTTAACGCTTTTCTTGAATCCAATTTAAGGAATTTCTTGGAATGTTTTAGTATTTCCTCAAAATATCAGGCAGGCGGTAGCACTGCGTATGTTAGGATGATTCGGATTGTTCGTGGAAGTGGTATTTTAAATATCTCCTCAATAGGTCATCAGAACTTTACAATACTATACAGTGTTTTCTTTTATAACAATATCTATGTAGTGACTGAGTCACTAGTTCTGGGAATGTCTGTAAATATCATACCAAAAAGTTTGAATTTGTTGTTTTTATTTCTGCTGCTTCTATTTATTACATGATAACTCAAAAACCAAAACAATGGTGTCAACCAATTTCACTGTGGTGACATAGTTTCAAACGGAGTATCCGTTTTTATAAATATTATTAAATAGTAATAATCAAAAAATAATAATCCTTGTGTAAACGATGTTATCATTATCTCTAGAAGTTAGCTTTCTTACAGATATGATGGTGTTTCTTTAAACAGCTTAAGTACAGTGTGAAATGGGAATTATCAACCAATAATAGATAAACAATAAATATTACAGTTGGAACCTCATTGTATTTAGAACTTGGTTATAAATACAATCTCCCTATGTTTGTTGAAACACTGCATTTAAAAAAGAACGAACAAGAAAAGAAAACTTTTCAAAAAGGAAGTAAATGTAAGGATGGCTAATAGCAATCCTTGAAAAACAATGTAAATAAGATAGTAGGGATGACATTTTCATCATCCATACATTAACTATATACATATAACTACTCAACCACAATTGAGTTTAATTTATCCTATTTTTCTTTGTTAACGTTCAAGTACACTGTGTACTTGTAGGGATGATGCAAATACCATCCCTACATTTACTGCCTTTTTTGAAAAGTTTTTTCTTTACTTGCATACATATAACACTCTTTTTTTTCTTGAGTGTATTTGAGCATTATATATTTTGTTTTTTGTTGTTATTTTTTTTACGCCCGGATGGCTAGCCCAGTCAGCAACTGTTTAGGGCGAGGTGGTGGGGATTCGAACTTGCGACACTAAGATTGTGAGTTCAGCGCCATAACTACCAGGTATTCCCAAGACCTATATTGTTGGTAACCATAATAAATGAAAGTAATTTTTCACTAGTATAATTTTAATCATTTATTGGTTAACATAAAAGCTTAGTTTGGCTTCCTACAAATACCAAAATATATCGCACGTCCTTGTAGAGGTATAAAATTAAAAAATGTCTTTCTCTCACATTACAGTTTTTGTGATTATGGTAAAAATTGATGGTATGAATTCAAATATTGCTCTAAAACAATAACTAATTTTCTTTTTTTTCTGTACAAAGTATTGTTCAGCACTTAAGGTATCTCAGATGTTTGATCCATATATGTTATAATTATGTAAGACATGAGAACGATATGAAGGTACTCAGTGTTTCTACTTAGCCTGGCAGACGATCCTTGTTTGTTTAAAATTGTCTGTATAATTACAGCAATATATTCTGAAAGTTAATTTCTAATAATTTTCGTGTACATTTCTAGGAAACTGAAATACTTTAAATCTGTATTTATGATGGAGTTTGCTAATTTTTTAAGCATAAACTCTAATGGTTACAGTATTGTGAACATATTTTTGTTAATTGTATTTCCTTATTACTTCAAATGAAGATTGTTTGTTTGTTTTGAATTTCGCGCAAAGCTACACGAGGGCTATCTGCGCTAGCCGTCCCTAATTTAGCAGTGTAAGACTAGAGGGAAGGCAGCTAGTCATCACCACTCACCGCCAACTCTTGGGCTACTCTTTTACCAACGAATAGTGGGATTGACCGTCGCATTATAACGCCCCTACGGCTGAAAGGGCGAGCATGTTTGGTGGGACTGGGATTCGAACCCGCGACCCGCAGAGTGCGAGTCGAGCTCCTTAACCAACTGGCCATGCCGGGCCAATCAAATGAGGAACTTAATCATATAAAATGATTATGGTTTTATGAGTTTTTTTTTGTGTATCAGCTCCAACTGTAGTTCAATATCGTCTTGGTACAACTTTTATAAAGGAATAATTATCACCAAATTCAATTGTTTTAGCGGAAAGCTAAACAATGTGCTATCTACGCTCTGTCCACTGCGGGGAATCGATCCTCAAATGTTAGCTTTCTAAGACTGAAAAATTATCGTTGACCTATCTGTAGACAAAACTTGAATACAAATTTAGATTTATTAAAGCTTGCAGTACATTAGAATATGGAAAACTGAACTCATTAACAAGAAAGGCGAGTTTTCAAGCTTTCTTAATACTGTTACGTCTCCGTTTGTTAATTGATTTTTTTCGTAACTTCGTTCCGACGAAACTTTAACGACACAAGTTCTTTACTTAATAAACTGGTT